CCTGCTGCGCTTTGGTTTTCGCCTCCTCCACCCCCGTCCTCAATGCATTCATGTCCTTCGTCATCTTCGTCATCATTCCCATCATGTTCGTCATCATGAACTTCATGTCTGAGTCAACGCTGTCGAGATCAGTCGAACCCTCATCCCCCGTCCCTTCTGCTGCCTGGCTGAAGTCTGGCTGCCGGATGGGTGACTTCGGTGACTTCTCAGCGCCATCCACGCCGTCGCCGTCCATCTGATCCAAAAGTGAGTCATAGCGAGCTTGCTTACGCTCGCCTCCGATCGGGGTTCCCGTGTCATACCTTTTCGCCGCTGGAGACAGAAAGAAGAAAGACAAGGTAGGGTATGCGGATCGTGTGGCTTGCCCGGATCGTCTGGCCGGGTAAGAAAGGAAGCACTTGAGCCAACTTGAGCCTTGAGCCAGCGGGCACTTCACTGCGAGTCGGCGACTTGGGCGGGCGCGGTATCACGGCAACGCCGACTACGGTGACGCGGCGATTACAATGGCGATGCTGGCGGCGATGTTCGGACCAACGAAGGCGCGGCCAGCGCGGGCGCCGATGCCGATCGCGCCGGCGACGATGACGGCGCCCTCGCGTCGGCGATGAAGTTTTTGGAAGGAATTCGACATACACGCGCGGCCGACGCGCGAGATTGGCCCGCACGGTTATATTTGACACCGATCGTGCCCCCCCAGCACGCGCGCAATGGCGCGCGAATGATGTCGGCATGCGGCGCCAGAGGTCCGTTTGGCAGAAATCCATGAAAAATGCACAGAGATTCTGAAGGATTTTGAAAGGTTTTGAAAGATTTTGAAAGATTTTGAAAGATTTTGAAAGATTTTGAAAGATGTTGAAGGATTCCAGCACGCGCGCGCGACGACGCGCGCGCGCTTCGTCCCATTTGTTACAAAGGGTTCTCGCGACGGCACGCGCACAAGGGCGTTCGAACAAATTCCATATGCGCGCACGAAATCCCTCTGGTGGTATTTTTTGGAACCGTTGAAAACCCGATGGGCTCCCCAAGAATTCGCAAGAACGCGCGCACGTTTTTCTAGGTTTTGGAAGTCCGTGTTGCGAAACCATGTGTGTATACATATATATATATATATATATATATATATATATATATATATATATATGATCGCGGGCTCCTGGTCCTCGGGCCCCCCTCCCCAGATGGGATGGGTCCCAGGGTCCTCAGGCCCCCCCCCTGGAAGGGGACGAGGAGGAGGAGGAGGAGGAGGAGGAGGAGGAAGAGGACGACGACGACGACGACGACGACGACGACGACGACGACGACGACGACGACGACGACGGCAATGACGACGACGACGACGACGACGACGACGACAACGACGACGACGACGACGACGAAAACGACGACGACGACGACGACACCGACAACGACAACGACGACGACGACGACGACGACGACGACGACGACGACGACAACGACAACGACAACGACGACGACAACGACGACGACGTCGATGGCACCACCAGCGGCGGCGGCGACGACGTCGAGCACCGGAGCTGTCAACATGACGCCAACCCCAGCCACACGCCGCACCCACACCGCACCAACAGGGGGGGAGAGAGGGGGGGAGGAGGACCATGGCGTCACCCCGCACACACCCACAGCAACACACCACACCCACACCACATCCACAAGGGGGAGGGGGGGAACCACCACGCCAAGCCCACGCCCACAGGGGGGGGGCATCGCGCGGGGGGGGGGGGGCCGATGGCATTAGCATTGGGGGGGGGGGAGGCCAAACTCTCGACCATATATTACTGTTTTTTGACACTCGGTTTTGACATCCGTCCGACACCGAAGGTTTTTGACAGATTTCGGCATGCGCGCGCGACGACGCGCGCGTGTGCAGTTCGTCTCACTATTGTGCAAGAGGTTCTTGGAAATTGATGAACTGTGACAAACGAGTGCGCGCGCATAGCATGTTTTGCAGAGGATGGCGGGGGGGGTCGATACTAGCTGGGCAAGGATGGAACGAATTCATATTCAAGATGAACGATGGGGCAGAATCATATGAAAATTGCAACACAAAAAATATAACAATAAAGCCGGGGGGATTAGAGTCCATGTTCTTTCAAACAAAAAAAAAAAAAACAAATATACGCGGTGCACTCTATGCGATGCTATCTATGCGAGACGACGACGGGGCGGCGACGGCGACGACGGAGTGGCGACGGCGAGCACGGAGCCGCCAGACCGCAAGCCAGGCCAAGACGAAGGGCAGCGACGAGAAGGCGACGGGGCGGGGACGGCGAACACAGAGCCACCAGACCGCCAACCAGGCCCAGACGACGGGCGGCGACGAGGCGGCGACAGGGCGGCGACGGCGAGCACGGAGCCGCCAGACCGCCAGCCAGACCCAGTTCCTGAAAATAAGCCAGGAACCCTGAGTGCAAGCACTGTGTGGAGAATGCCAGCTGACGAGAGAGAGAGAGAGGGAGAGAGAGAACAAAAAAATGAGAGAGATAGAGAGAGAGAGAAATCGCAGTGCCCATTGGACATATTCGGAGGGGCAGAATAATATCTATACGGACAAGCTGTGGGAGGCAGGACTCGGTGCGTCACCCCCCCGCGCACACACACACACACACACACTTTGGCGTCGCCGCCCTGCGCGCAGCGACGGGACATAGAAGGTCGGAGATCAACTAATTGCGCGCGCGCGTGTAAGCCCACCCGAGCACTCAAAGACCACTCAGGGTCTCCAGGCCGACAGCAGACATAACCATCCGGGCATGGATGGCGGGTGGGAACGCTGGGAGGAAGAGACTACGCTTAGATTGGAGGTGCCAAAAGCCAACTGGGACTGGAAGGCATGGAGATTGTTTTTTTATTCTGGCCGATAACGCTCGTTACCCGGGGGGGGGGGGGGGTCGTGCCCCTCGGGTAACGGTAACGCTTGGGCTGGGCGGGGTATGGCGAGGCAGGGGCGCTCTGCGATCGCCATAGTATGCGCGCGAGCAGCACTCTCTGCCTGAGAGCACCACAGTGGCTTGCGATTCGAGTACAAGCGCAAAGCCCGCCGCGTGGTCCCGGCACCACGCCCGCGCCCGCGCGCGCGACGACGATGATCGACGAGCGACGAGCGACGAGGTCGACGACGACGACGACGACGTTTGCCGCCTGTTTCGGCCTCCGGAGGCCGTTTTCGAGCGCCGTCGACGACGACGACGACGACGACGACGACGACGACGACGACGACGACGACGACGTTTTTCGCCTGTTTCGCCCTCCGGAGGCCGTTTTCGGGCGCCGTCGACGACGACGATGGACGACGACGACGACGACGACGACAACGTTTTTCGCCTTTTTCGGACTCCGGAGGCCGTTTTTCGGGCGCCGTCGACGACGACGACGACGACGACGACGACGACGACGACGACGACGACGACGGCAACGAGGACGACGACGACGACGACGACGACGTTGTTTTTGTGCCTTTGTCGGACTCCGGAGGCCGTTTTTCGGGCGCCGTCGACGACGACGACGACGATTCGAGTACAAGCGCAAAGCCCGCAAGCACCAGCATCGCGCATGCGAGCGCCGCAATGGCCTGCGAGCGCCCACAGTGCGCCTGCGACCACCACACCACAGTGCGCATGCCTTCGGGCACCAGCATGTTGGAGGGGAAGACCGAGACCCCCCCCGCGCACGAGCGGTACCGTTACGGGGGGGGGGGGGGGGGGAGAGGCCCGGGTAACGAGCGTTACCCCCCAGAGGATAAAAAAACAATCTCATGGGGGGCGAGAAAGCAGAGTGGAACGACAAGAAGGCCAAGGCCGACCTGCAAGCTAAACTAATCCGGGCGTGGATGGCGAAGAGGAACAGTGGAAGGACGAGACTACGGTGATGTGGAAGGTGCCCAAAGCCAACCGACCCAGGAAGGCAGGGGGAACGAGAGAGTAGAGTGGAGCTACGAGGAGGCCAAGGACTGCCTGGAAGCAGAGACGGCGACGACACACACGCACACACACACACACATCTGACATTAGATCTGCCCCTCTGGAGTGGTGGTGTTTGATGCGTGGTGTGCAGCGTGTTGTAGTATTCGATGCGGTGTAGCACATGTAGGTAGGTACATTTATGCCTATATAAGAGATCCACCACTGTGCCGCTTGGCACGGGGTGGACGTGTCCTCAGGTCCTTTGCCTAATCCTTTAAGCCTGTCCTCACTCCTGAGAAATATTTACGGGGCCCGGAGCCAAAATTGCCAAATCTCCTTAGGCTTCCCACGTGCCCCTTGGGACCCGTCGCGGCTTGTCGCATGACTTTTTCGGGCCAAGAAGGCCCCAGGACGGGGCAGGAGGGCCCCAGGAGGCCCCGAAGACGGTCCAAGAGGGCCTAGAGTCGCCGAACGATCGCCCCAAGACGCTCAAGATGGCCCCCAGACGGCCCAAGAGGCCTCCAAGACACCCAGAAAGGCCTCCGAGAAGCCTCACGAGAAGCCAAAAACATGTATTTTCCAGAGGTGTTTGAAGGGTTTGGGCGTTCTCGCCTTTTCGGTTTCCCGACGCTCCCAGACGGCCCTAGAGGCCTCCAGGATCGCCCCAAGACGGCCCAAGAGGCCTCCAAGAGGGCCCCAGAACGGCCCAAGAGGACCCCGAGACAGCCCAAGAGGCGCCCAAGACGGCCCAAGAGGCCCCAAAGACGGCTCCAAGAGGGGGCCCAGATGGGGGACCGGAACGGAAATTTCGAGCCCTTGGCCCCGGGCCCCCAGGAGGCCCCAAGAGGCCACCAAGAGCCCCCAAGAGACCCCCAAAAGGCCCCAAGATGCCCCCCAGAGGACCCCACAGAGGCTCCCAAGAGACCCCAAAACTGCTCCCAAGAGGCCCCCGAGAGCGCTCCGAAGGGACCCCAAGAAGCATCCCCGAGAACTCTGACCCACAACCACGGCACGGTGGCGGATGGGCCGAAGGCCATCAGACCACTAGATCTAGAAAGAGACAGAAAATAGAGGAACCCGTTGCTCTCCATCGGACTCCAGCTCTCATTCTACCGATCCTTCCGTGTTCCCGTTCTCTCCGTGCCCAACGCCCAGCGCCTACGCCGCGGTCAAACGTCTGGCGCAGGCCTGCGCCTTCGGCCGCTCGCGCGCGCGCGAGGGCCGCGGCTCAGCCAGCGCCGGCACCGCCCTCGGCGAGGGCGCGGAATCTTCCCTGCAGCTCCACCGCGCGCGCCACGTCGGCCTCCTCCAGGCCCAGCTCCTCCTCGCGCCAATCGTCCTCCGACGCCCCGAGGAGCAGCTCCCCGCTCACCCCGACCGCCTCCATGGACTCCAGCGCGTCCGCGCTCAGGCCCCCCTGGGCGCGCAGCCACTGGAGGACGCGCTCGCAGTCCCACTCCTCTCGGGGCGCACTAACGCAATGACCCGGGGCAGCGCGAGCCTGGGTCGGCCAGGGCCACGCGGCGAGCCCAGGCCAGGGCCACGAAGTGGCTCCCAGACCCCGGCCAGTGGAAGGCGGGGGAGCGCGGGCCGGTTCCGGGTGGCTCCCAAACCTGGGTCAGCCAGAGGACCTCGGAGGGGGGGGGGGCTGACCACCATCAGCGCTGGTCCCCCTTGCGTGAGCCCCACGTCGCCTCCACGCAAGAGCGGCCCTGGGCAAGAGGCAAAAGGGACCTTTGGTGCGCGGCTTCAGGGGGCCGCGTGGGGGACCGATCCACGCGCGCAAGCCACTGCCAGGGGGGCCCCGGTGGGCCCGCACCGAAGGCCACTCCGTTGAAGGGTCGCTCTTATCAGTACCGTATAGTACAGCAGCCTTGCATCCGAGAGGACGCGTACTGTAGACAAAGCAAACGAACAGCCAAACGCTGTGGAGAGCGGCGACAGGCGAGAGAGCACGGCCAAACGCCGGCGCTGAGTTGAAGATGGTAGATGACCACGAGGAGGATCAAATCAGCCTTTACTCCAAGTAGTATACTGACTGCGCCCATTGCTGTCGAGGGGCGGCCTCTGAGTCTCTGGTAAGCTCATTGTTTAGGCGTGCTGTCGGAATTGCAAACCACTGACCTGACGAATGAATTTGCGTCGTACGATGCGATCTTGAGGAAGCAAACACGGTACAGACATAACTAAACTGTTGGGGGTCTGGGGTGATTTTCTTGGATCCACGCTGGACCCCCTCCCTGGCGCACGGAGCGCACCACGGGCGGCGCTGGAGGCGCCGCCAGGGAGGCCCAACGCCGATCCAAGAAATCCGCGCGGAGCCCCGACAGTCTATGCTTATGCAACTGTTTCTTCGTCGATCTTACGCGTGGCCGGCACTCCTCAGAAGGAGTGCGCTTTCTCAGAAGGCTCGGGAGGCCTCTGGCCTTCTGATTAGCTTCCCAGGCCATCTACAGAAAACCTCAGCGGCGCGAGGCCTTCTGAGAGGCCCCGCCGCCCCTCGGAGGCCCGCCTCGCCTCCTCGCCCCACCTCCCGGCTCACCCCCGGCGCGCCGCCGATCTTGCGCATGCCCGGCCACTCCTCCACAGGTGGGCCCTCCTCGCCGCGGGCGTGCCCGGCGGCGGCCGCCACCCGGGCCGCGGCCTCGGCCGCGCGGCCCGGGCCGCCAAGGGCCTCCGCGGCCCGGGCCGCCGCGGCGGCCACCTCCTCGAGCAAAGCGGCGCGGTCCGCGTGCGCGGCGTTCGGCGCGGCCACGACGGCAGGGCGGCGAGGTCTGAACCGAGACAGGCTCGCGTCGTGGCAAAGAGCAGGACGGGAGGTGTTTGGCCTTCTCCGGCCTCCGGGGCCCTCGACGGGCCCAGGGACCGTGAACAAAAACTGGAACTTGTTGGCTATACGGTCCCTGAGACCGGTTTTTCATCCTGAGTAATCCTGAGTATACTGAAGATGAAAAACTGGCCCCAGGGAGAGGGTCGGAACGTCCGGGCGCTCCATACCAGAACAAACAGGACATCGCACGTCTGGGTACAAGTCCACTGCCCCTGGCCTAGGCACATACTGACCCCGGTTGCGGTGTGTACGCCCCCCTGGCTTGGCCAGGGTCGCATGTGTACAGCTCCTGGGCCCCTCAGGGATGGGCCAGGCCAAGGGCGGTGGAGAGGTATAGATATCGTCGCCCTGGATGGTGGCGTCGTCGAAGCCCATCATCCCCGCCACGTCCCTGAGCCACGGCACCAGGTAGTCCTTGCCCCCCGCCCCGCCAGAGGACGTCACGATGACAACGGGGCGGCCCCCGCCGAGCAGCCCCAGGGGCCCCGCGGGCGTCTCGCGGAAGGTGAGGCCCGGGTGCAGAACGCAGTCGAAATTCGGCGGCGAGCCCAGGGAGGAAGTCAGAGGGGGCGGGCCTTCTCAGAAGGCTCGGAAGGCCTCCAGCCTTCTGACAAGTTGTCTAAGCCTTCTCCGAAAACAGGGACAGCTTCTCGGAAGGCGCGAGGGCTTCTGAGAAGCCTGGCAGCCTTCTGAGAAGGCCTGCCCCCTCTCACTTCCCAGGTGACGATATCCGAACCCTACCCCCACCAACCATGGATTCTCCTGAATCGATGCGAGGCGGGGTTAGGGTTCGGATTTCGCCACGTTTTCGACAAATTCCGAACCATATCCCCGCCGCCCATCGAGTTGCCTGAATCGTTAATCGGCGAGGGTGGGGTTCGGATTTCGCCGCCGGCTTTCCCCCACGCCGCGCCGCCGAGAAGTACTGCTTCAGGACCCACGGCACAGAGTAATTCCACATCGGCGCAGAAACGACCAGCCCCCGGGCGGTCGCGACCTGGGCGGCCAGCTCCTCGATGGCCGCGAAGCGCCGCAGGTCACCAGGCTCGCTGGGTGAGCCTTCATGGGAACTTCTCTGGACCTCCGCAGCCCTATCAACACGTGATTTCGACTGGAGTTCGTCCGGAATTCGACCACCTCTCTTCACCCTTTCATCCAGATGTCGTTCAGATTTCGTCGAAATTCGTCCATGCTTCGCCCAAATGTCAATCAAATCCGACGAAGTCTGGACGAAATCCCCCAAACCGCAAGGACTTCTGGGAACCTCTGAGGCCCCCGTGAAGGACCACACAGGGCTCGTGCACCCCCCCCAGCATCGCCATCTTGGACCTCACGTGCTCCAGGCCGTACTCTATGCGCGAGCGTGTGCCAGCCTCCCAGAGGCGCACGTGCTCCACGTGCAGGTCAGGCCGCCTCCTGCCCAGCTCCGCGAAGAGCCTCTCCGCGCCGTGAGCCACCAGCGAGGCGGGGCCGTGGGAGCAGTCCAGATGCAACACGTGCCTCGCCGAGCGCAGAGCGGCCTCTCCTCCGAACTCCACAGTCCGGTAGGCCAGCTCGGCGGAGAACATCCCCGCCATGCCGCGGCGCCGCCGGGCGCGGCGTCGCGGCCGCACGGGGGTCGGCTCGAGCCAGAATGGATACGGAGAGGATTAAGAGGAGAAGGAGGAGGAGGAGGAGGAAGAGGAGGAAGAAGAGGAAGAAGAAGAGACCATGGGCGGTGCCAGGACAGGGCCCACGTGCAGACTCTTGGGGCAATGATGCCTCTGGGGGGCTGCGGCCGATACGTGCCCCTCTCTGTTTGATCGTTTCCTGGCTCAAAAGCCTCTTCATTGCGAATCCGTCTCAACCTGGGGAGAACCCAGGCCCCCCCGTGATGGGTGCTGGGTCAGAATACCGAACCTTGCCCCATGCCCCTGGCATCCCGTAGCACCCTGCTACGAAATCCGGAGTGAATGTCAGTTTGATCCGATGGCACCACCCCATCTTCCCTGACAAGCGAAACGGTGCGTAGGGTACCTCAGGGGAATGGTCTCGCTAAACTGCTGTCATGCTATGATGTGGTGTATGCGGCACCGCTCAACTCTCGCTGAACAGCGTCGCCTGAATGTTGCGCCTGGGGTGTGCACGGCGCGCTAACTCACAACAAGGGGGTGAAAATGTATGTTCGGTTCGTCGGAGCTCCCCCTATGTCTTGCAGACCCATGAGCGACTGTACAACTTGCACCGCGCATTGGAAGCACGCGTTGGTGATTTGATTTCCTGTTGCAGACTCGTGTGCCGCCCAACGAAGCCTTCCACACCACTAACTCCAGCGCAGGACTGGGACTTTGAAGGGCCCCATGCGCTTTCAAAAAAGGGGATCAGCTGTTGAACTGATGAGACTTGCCCGCTGCCGCGATCGCTGACTCCTTACTCTCTGTCATGAATCATCCCGTAGTGACGGAATGACCAACCGAGGAGGACGACTGGGAGGAGAACACAAGAGGAAAGGCATGATAATGAACAGTAGGAACGGCAGCAGTAGTAGGAATGGTGGTGGTGGTCCCACTGGCAATAGGAATGGTAGCCGTAGTAGGTGTAGTTGTTGTTGCTGTTATCGCCGTCGACATCGTACTCGTTGTAAAAGTAGTAGCAACTGTAATAAAAATGATAGTCGTAGCCGCCGAAATAATAGAAGTGCCATCTTATAATAGTAGTAGCAGTAAAAGTAGTGGCAGTAGTAGTCGTAGTAGTAGTAGTAGTAGTAGTAGTAGTAGTAGTAGTAGTAGTAGTAGTAGTAGTAGTAGTAGTAGTAGTAGTAGTAGTAGGAGTGGTAGCAAAACTAATAATGATGTTCGCAGAAATGGTAGCAGCAGCAGCAGTAGCAGTAGTAGTCCTAGTAGTAGTAGCAGTAGAAGGAGTGGTAGCAATCGTAGTGATAGTGTCAGTGGTAAAAGCAGAAATATGAATAGCACTGCACCTACATCTACTACGACTACGAATGCGACTACAACTATTGCCCTGACTGTTGCTACTACTACTACTACTACTACTACTACTACTACTACTACTACTACTACTACTGATACTGCTACTGCTACTGCTACTGCTGCTACTACTACTACTACTACTACTACGACTACGACTACTACTACTACTACTACTACTACTACTACTACTACTACTACACTACTACTTCTGTGAAAACCACTCTTAGCATTGTTGCTACTACAATTACTACGACGACAACTACTGCTACTACTACTACTACGACTACTACTGCTACTACTACTACTACTACTGCTACTACTACTACTACTACTACTACTACTACTACTACTACTACTACTACTACTACTACTACGACTACTACTACGACTACTACTACTACTACTACTAC